GGGAAAGGAGAAAAGAGAGAGAAAGAAGGCATGATGAACAGAAAGAAACAAAAAGAAAAAGAGCAGGGATATAAGTAAAAAAGATAAAAAAAGACCAAAAAAAAGAGTGAATAGAAAAAAGAAACAAAAATTAAGAAAGAGAATAAAATGAGAAAAAAAAAGTAAAAATATGAATAGCCCCCTCCCCTCCTGCCCATAGCGAACGCCCCCCTTCCCACGGACCCTGCCGCACCCCCGCCCGCCTTCGCGACCGCCAGGTGAGCGACAAGGTCGGCCTCGCCACAGAAATGCAGTACTACCACAACCAGTTCTGCAACTTCGGGGTGGGGTACGAGTTTCGCTTGCGGCAGGTCCAGCCGCACCCGCCCCAAACCCGTCCATCGCCCGTACCACCGCCGCCCTTACCGCCCCCGCCGTCTCCACCGCCTCTGCGCCTCTGCGCCTCAGCTGCCGCCGCCACACACCGCCACACGCCGCCCAACAGCTCGGGTTCGGACGAGCTTGGGTGATTAAGCACTTCCGACTCGTCCGCTGCCGCCGCCCCCACCGCCGCCGCCGCGTCACCAGAGCGAGCCTCACACGCCGCACGTGGTGGCCCTCTTTTCCCTCGCCCGGCCCGCTTTCGCTCGCCCAGCCCTCGGGGCCGCCCCGTCGCCACCTCAGGCCACCTTCAAGGGGCTGATACAGTCGGACACGACCTGCAGCGCCTCGCTCGAGGAGCGAGATGCTTCCGGCACCCTTCCGGCACCCTTCCGGCACCCTTCCGACGCCCGTCTCTCTTCTCCCCCGCAGGAGCGGATCAACCCAAACATGAACCTGATGCTCTCCGGCCAGCTCAACCACAAGAAGAAGGACTATAAGTTCGGATTCGGCGTGGTGATCGGGGCGGCGTGAATGGCCCATCGCGCGCTCGGGAGGGGCATGATTCGTATATTGGTGTCACAGGGGGCGGGCGGATTGGCGTTGGGCTCGTTGGGGCCCACAGGCTGTGGGACTGACATGGACCTGGACCTGTACCTGTGCCGCTGTGGGACTCGCGAGCCGCGCGATCATGTCCCCGCGCGCTCCGCTCCATTGCTCAGTGGTTGTCTTCTATTCGCGCGCGCTTCGTGCCTCAATAAGTTCATCTATTTGAGTATTGAAATTGAGAGACCCACCGAGACGCATCTCGCCGCATGTCCGAACTCCTCCGCGCGATTGTTGTCCGCTCTCCAGTACTCCACATGCCGCATGCCATCCGCTCGACGTTCTTGCCGGGACAAGAGCACGCCGGGTCGCCGCACACACACAGCTCGTACCCAGGAGAAAGGATGGACACACCAGAGTCACACACGCGCCGCGGCCCGGCGGCGGCGCGCATCTCGCACGGCCGGGCGCGGGCCCCCAAATCCCAAAACGGTAAACGCAAAAGCGGAAAAAGCACTATAGTCGATGGTGATGCGCTGCCCGAGTGACCGGCTCCAGAATTTGGCACAAACGGGCAAACTCTTGGAGGTCGAGGCGGCCATTGCCGTCCACATCCACACTCCGCAATGCCACGCCCGCCTCCTTGCTAGTCATGTCTAGGCCCATGTCTCTGAGGGCCGCCTCGAGCTCCGACCTGTCAAGGGCGCCCGACCCGTTGTGGTCGTACCGCTCGAAGGCGCGCCTCACCTCTGGGCTTACGACAACCTCGGGCCGAGGAGGGGGTGGCCGGGCGTGCGTCTGCGTCGCCCCAAGCTGCAGGCAGAGCTGCTGGAACTCACTCAAGCTGAGTGTGCCTGAGCCGTCCGCGTCGAAGCGTCGCAGGAGAGCCATCGCGTCGGGACTGGTCGAGTCGAGCTTCATGCTGTCGAGTGCCTCTCGGAGCTCTCGGCCACTCAGCTTGCCCGTGAGGTTGGCGTCGTGGGCCTCAAACACCCGTTTCGCTTCAGCGCTCATATCGGCCGAGGACGGAGCAGGGGAGGCAGTTAGAGGCTTCGCCTGCTCGAGCTGCAGGCAGAGCTGCTGGAACTCACTCAAGCTGAGTGTGCCTGAGCCGTCCGCGTCGAAGCGTCGCAGGAGAGCCATCGCGTCGGGACTGGTCGAGTCGAGCTTCATGCTGTCGAGTGCCTCTCGGAGCTCTCGGCCACTCAGCTTGCCCGTGAGGTTGGCGTCGTGGGCCTCAAAGACCCGTTTCGCATTTGCGCTCATATCGGCCGAGGACGGAGCAGACGCCGCCCTCGCCACTGCCGCCTGCTCGAGCTGCTGGCAGAGCTGCTGGAACTCACTCAAGCTGAGTGTGCCTGAGCCATCCGCGTCGAACTTGCGAAGCAGAGCGGCCCCGTCGTGGCTGGTCGAGTCGAGCTTCATGCTGTCGAGCGCTTCCCGGAGCTCCTTGCCGCTGAGTTTGCCCGTGCGGTTCCCGTCGAACCGCTCGAAAGCACGTCTCGCCTCCTCCGCAGCCGCAGCCTCGCGCATTCTTTGCTGCTGTGCCGCCCGCTCCAACTCGGCTGAGATTGCCGCCACACGCCTTTGCAGCTGTCCGGCCTCCGCCATTCTTCCCTCACTTGCGAGCTGCTGGGCCAGAGACGCCACAGCCGCCGCCGTCTCTGTGTGATGTTGCCCAAATTGGACCTCGCAAGCCTGCAGGCTGGCCTGTAACAGCCGGCGCGCCCGTTCGTCGTCGTCGGAGAGCATGGTGGACAGCCGGCGCATCAGCCGCAGCGCGTCGAGACTCGGCATGTGCTGTGCTATCAGCACCTCGGATGCATACCGTATGATGGTGTCGTGCAAGCCCTTGGCGACACAGTCGCTGAAGAGCGCGCCGCGCTCGCCGTCAGCCGTGGCCGCTTGAAGTACCACCTGCCCTTCTCCCACTATCGGCTCAGAGGCTGACGCCAGCTCGACGCACACCAAGGGTGCAATAGTGGCGTCGAACTCACTGACAAGGGCCCTCTCGAAGGCGGGCCTTGTCTTGGGCGGGAGGACAAACTCGAGTGCCGCACCGGCTGCAAAGGCCGCATGCATTCCCCAGAGGCACCACGCACTCCTCAGTGCACGCGGTTCGCGCCAATTTGAAAGGAAGACGAGGACGCTGCCGGCCTTCGTGACGAGTTCCGCACGCTCCTCTGGGCTGCTTGCCTCGCGGTGGAAGTTTCTGGTGAGCGGCTCGAACCACAAACGCCGGTCGGGAGCCAAGCGAGCGTCGCGGACCGCCGCCACCACCTCCGATAGCAAAGCGTCCGCAGGCACGCAGAGGTAATCGGTCGGAGCGCCAACCTCTGTTGGGCCGAGCTCTGCCACTCCGCCGATGGCAATGAGCTCGGCGAAGCTCACCTGTTCCTTCGCCGTTGCCGGCGTCGTGATCTCGACGCACGCGTCGAGCACAGTCAGCGGCTCGGATGCCGCCCGCGACTTCCAGCCTCGCCAGCCCTCCGCTGCTGGCCCAGCACCGCGCGACTGCTCCTCGGCACGCCGGGAGAGCGCCTCCAGAGCGCGGACAGACACACCGGAGCTGCGCGCTCTCCTCTCCTCCTCCTCTCGCAGCTGCCCCTCGTGCCTCTCCCTGGCTATGCTTGCAATGGGCTCCAACACCTTGACCAAACGTGCAAATTCGAAAAGGCTGAGAGAGCCGTCGCCGTTTGCGTCAAACGACTGTAGCGTTTGAAGCGACTCCTCGCTCGACAAGTCGAGGTGCATGTCGTCGAGGGCACTGCGGACCTCCTCGCGGCTCAGCTCCCCCGAGAAGTCGACGTCGTATTTGTAGAAGACCTTTCGCACCTCATGCGAGATCTGTTCCTCTGGTGCTGCCGTCGTCGGTGCCTTACCCGTCTCGGCGCTTGTCGGACCCGCAGGAGCCGGGACGACAGGAGCCAGAGCGGCCGCGGCCGAGGGCGCAGAGGGCGGCACCTCCGGAGCAGCGGCGGCCGAGGGCGCAGAGGGCGGCGCCTCTGGTGCAGCGGGGGCCGGGGGCACGGAGGGTAGCGCCGCTGGTGCTGCCTCACGTTGCGGATCGGAGACGGGGCCAAGAACCTCCATGGAAGGTGCGGCGGATAGCATGGCAGTGGTGTCGGCCGCCAGTGCGACCACCGGCTTCAGCACTTCGCAGAGGCGCGCGAACTCTTCGAGATCGAGACGGCCATTCTTGTTTGCATCGACACTCCTGAGCGTCGCAGCCAGCTCTTGGCGGGTCAGATTCATGTGCATATCGGCGAGCGCCGCGTGTAGCTCATCGGTGTCGAGCTGGCCAGTGCAGTTGACGTCGTGCTTCACAAAGGCGCGGCGCACCTCGTCGTACTCGCGCCGCTTCTTCGCCGCTGCTCGTTCCACCTCACGACTGGCGTCTCCCGCACCGCTCTGTGCCCCGTTAGGGCCGTTCTGTGCACCATCAGCGAGGACGTGCGCCGGCGGTGCCGGCGGTGTCGGCGGTGTCGGCGGTGCCGGGGGCGGCGGCGGGGGCGGCGGGGGCGGCGGGGGCGGCGGGGGCGGGGGCGGCGGCGGCGGCGGCGGCGGCGGCGGCATCCTCCGGACAAAATCGCTGCTCTCCTCCACGGGCCTGCTTTGGAACCACTTGATGTCCTGCACGAGGGCGTCGAAGCGGGGTAGCGCGAGCACGCCGCACGTGCCATAGTTCTGCATCACGGCAGCGGCTCCTTCATGGTCCACCTCGAGGCCCAGCTGCACCAGGGCTGCCTGCCGGGCAGAGGAGTGAGGCAGGCTGTCTCAAATGTGGCGTGGAGCTTACCGCGGGCTGGTCTCGGGTGGCTCGAGCGTGGACGCGCGGCGTAGCGGCAGGTCGCGAGGGGTGGTGGAATCGAGGGCGTAAGCAGCGGAGGGCGAGGATGTCCGCCTGCAGCTCCGGTTGGCTGAGCACGCCGTCGCGGTCAGAGTCGAATATGTCAAAAGCCATCTGAACCTCCGGTTCGATGCTCGCATTGGGTAGCGCTAGCAAGCCCACCGCGGGCGACGCCGGCCGCGCCTGCGGCACCGACTGCGCCTCGCCCACTCTGCTGGCGACGAGCTTCTGCAGCCGTGTGCACTCCGCCTCGAGGGCTCCCTTCTCGGATTTTAGCAGCGACAGCTCATCCTCCATCTGGCGCGATTCGGAGAGCATGCGCTCGCTCTCCAGCCGCATCCGCTCGCTCTCGCGTGCAAAGCGCCGGTGCTCCACCTGCAGCCGCTCCACGGTCGATTCGAGCCTTTCCACCTCACTAGCGTGTGTCGGCGCCTCTGGCGCCGCGGGGGGTGCGGCGCGGCTGTGCCTCACGGCCCCCGTCCAGGTGGCCGCCTCGCCCCGTAACTGCCGCGCAAGCCGAGCGAATTCACCCAGCTCGAGAAGGCCGTTGCCGTCAGCATCGTACCCCTGCAGCACACGCAGTGCCTCGCGTTCGTCCACGCTCACGCCCAGAGCGCGCAGTGCCGGCCGCAGCTCGCTGTAGTCCAACCTGCCACTGGGTGGCGAGGGCAGCGGCGGTGAGGGCAGCAGCGGGGAGATAGGAGGAGAGGTGCGTCAGGACGGAGGCAGTGGGGAGGCCCTTACCTGCCGTTGGTGTCATACCGCCGAAATATGCTCTCCACCTCCGCCCGCACGAGCGACTTTTCGACGTTCCGCTCCTTGTCCCCGTCGTCGTAGTCGATGTCCATGCTGCCATCCGCGTTCGCCGTGACGACCACGCCCTTGTAATAGCGGCCCCGGCCCCGGTAGTTGGCCTCGCATCGGTCGCCGACGCCCAGCTCAACCGGATCCATGAGCGAGTTGTCGCGCGGGGCGGCTCCGTAGCTGGCAGCCGCTGCCCCTGCCTTTGGGAGCAGCGCCTCTGTCGCCCGCGACGACGACACCCTCGCCTCGAGCTGTGGGGAAGTTCAAAAGTTCAGGGAGTTGATGGCGGCCACTTCATGCGCATGTGACGCGGTGCAGGATATGCAGTGAGGATCAAGCGGCTAGGCAGCACCTGCGACAGTCGAGTCTCCGCACGGTGGCGTGCCTCCCTCTCCTCCGCGAGCATCGCCGCCATCTCGCCGCCGCCTCCGAAGCCGCCGCCCACGACCAGCAGCGGGTCTTTCTGGGGGAGCGATCTCCGCTGCGGTGTTGTAGGGGCGGACCTGCCCTCTCTCAGCCCGCCCGGCCTCCTCGCTCTCGCCGTTGAGTACGACTCGCTCTCTGCCAGACGCCCACCCGCCGTCATTGGCCGAGGAGTGCGGTTGATGGTTGCAGCGCTGGGCGGGCGAAGCCGGACCTGGGACATGTGCCTGCTCCCTGATCGGCCGGTGGATGGTGTGAGCTCGCGCGCGAAGTCGGGGCGTCCCTTTGAAGCTGGCCAGCTTGAGGCCCCAGTGCCAGAGATGGCGCGGCCGGGCAGAGGCATGGTCGCCCAGTCCGCCGTCCACAGCGTGTTAGCCGCAGCCGCGCGTGCGATGACGTCGGAGATTGCAGCGCGGTCGCAAGTCTCCCTCGCCCTCGCCACCCAATCGCGCAGCGCGGGTGGGAAGGAGCGCTGCGCATCCATGGCTCGGAGCAAATGTAACTGTAACCGTCAGCAACTCTTTCACGCTCGTGTGAGCCGTGTCTTTTCGTGCGCTGAAACGCCTGATTGAGAACTGACAGCGGCGCACAGGCCCCGCGGAAACACGTCTCTCCTTCCATTTTGCCAGTACACAAGGGTCAAAGGCTCGAGAACAGCCAATTCGCAACCTCAAAGTGACTAGTTGCAAATACGAACGAACGAATGGTGTGAACATGACCACTTTTGATGTCTTTTTGTCCGTGTTGCTCCCAGCGCCCTCGCCCGCTCCCTGAGGCCATGGCTGGTGCTACTAGTATGGGGGGCTACCTGGCTACCGCGAGAGCGACCCAACTCGTCGACATCGATGATTGTGCCTCAAAGTCAGCCTCCGGAGGCTATCGTGGGGTCGAGCCGGCGGTTGCCGTGACATGTGGTTCCACCACCCCTCGCAGGCTTTGCCTCTGACCGCCACCGTTCCCAGGCTGCCTAATGGGATGGAAAGGAAGGGCGAAGGCTGGGCGAGCGTATAGAAGCGTGCTCGACCTTGTCGTGGCAGCCTGCACGGCAGCGCTGGCAGGCGCGATGAGCCTCGTGCCACCTGACCCGAGACGGGTCGCAGGCGTCGCACCGAGCGTGTCGAGACCGGTGTCCTGATGTGCTCTGCACGGGTGAGTCACGTCGGCGTCAAAGGAGCGACGTGCGACCTGTCAGAGCTTGATCTCCGATCTCAGCGGCGTCGAGTCGCCTTCCGCGGCGACAGCTGGGATGCATCTCCTCCGTCGTTTTTCGCGCGATGGCCCTGAGAAGCTGGCGGTGCACGCAGGCGGACCTTGTAAATAAATAAATAAATAAAACGGGCAAACTCTGAGACGAGATGGGATTTAGGGACATGTGTCCCCGCCCTGCACGATCTTGGTGTGAGGGATCTTCAATCCGTGTCCCCTCACCCCTCGTCACAACCCGACACGGAAGAGCGGCAAGAGTTGGGGCTGCGGCTACGGCTGCGGCTATGAGAGGGGCCGGGGTCGCGCGAGAGCCGCTGCGCCGCGTGGACGCGCCTACACCGCTCTTGCTCCGCTCGCCACCTCCTCGCAAAGGTCCAAAGCCACCACCTGCTCCAGTGCTCCTCCGCGGCAAGTCCTTTCGCCGTATCTCCTTGTGTGTGCACGCGGAACGCTTAAAAAGTGGGTGCTCTACGTCACTTTTTATGAGACAGTAGATAGTGCCGAGCTGGCCGTGACAGCGTTTTGGGTAGTAGTTTTTGGGGCGGGGGTTTTTGCACCCACAGTTGCACAGACTTTTTGCAAACAAGTCAAGTACGTTGTACGAGAATAAAGTATAGAGTGTATACAGACAGGAGCAATTTGTCGACTTGTGGTTGTGCGCCAGTTGATCCTAGTTTGATGCCGCTTTTTTCATACAGTTTTGGTAGAAAATGAGGAAAATCCCGCCCAACAATCAAGGCGGCTGATGACGAACCGCGACCTCACATGACAGACAGAACAGGACAGTGAACTTGCTGGATTGGTGCACGGGGTGCGCTGGCCGCCGCAGGGGGCCGAGCGTCGCGCGGCTCGAACGCGCCCGCGCCGCCGAGGAGGTCTTGGGAGATGGCGCGAGGCGCCACCTCGCTTGCCCCGGCTCAAGGGTGGCGGTGCCCGTAGTACCCATGTCCCGGCGGGGCGTTGTAGTCGGAGGGCGCGTCTTCATAGCCGCCAAAGTTGGTGCCCGAGCTGAAGCCGGGCGCCATGCCGCCGCCAGACATGGCGGCCATCTGCTGCTGCGCGGGGTAGGGCTGAACGTATCCGCCGGCGGGGCCTGAGCCGGACTGCTGCGACAAGTACTGCTGCTGCTGCACGTACTGCTGCTGCTGCGCCACATAGTTGCTGTGCGACGGGGCGTACATGTTGATGTTTCCGGGCGGCATGCCCGGCGCAACTTGGTACATGCCGCCGCCAAAACCGTGGGGCATGCCGCCGTAGCCCGCGTAGTGCGGCGAGGCCATCACCGGCGCAACCATGCTGTAGGCGTACGGCTGCTGCCCGCCATACGCGGGCTGCATCATACCCGGCGGGCCGCCCGCCCGCGACGGCTGCGAACCGCCCAGCCCGGCGCCCATCGACCCGTTGCCGACGGCGATGCCCATGCCGGGGGGGACCATGCCCATCTCTCCACCGCCTACGCCATGAATACACCCGAGGTCAGGGCGGGAATACGGCATCGCGCCGTGTGCTCCGAGCGCCGCGTGAAATACACGGGCGATGAACGTGTTCCTCTCGAGCGCTAGTTGGAGTACATGAATACGTACTCAGCATCTAGGCCCCACCGTGCATCGCCGGCGGCATCCCGCCGCCCGGCCCGCCGCCGCCCGGGTTGCGGTCGCCGCTCCGGTCGCCCCGCGCTCCTTTGCCCTTTTTCTGCTTGCTTCTCCGGTCGCCGTCCTTGTCGGCGCCCGGCTGGCGGCCGGCCATCCCGGCGGGCGGCGCCGCCGCGCCGGCGTGCACCTCGTAGCCGTGCACCGCACCCGGCATGCCCATCGCAATGTTTCCGGGCGGCATCGCGCCGCTGGACGGCGGCGCCGCGCCGCCCGCCGCGCCGCCGCCGCCGCCTCCGCGCGGCTCATCGAGCGGCGGCGGCGTCCCCACGCTGGAGGGCTCCGAGTAGGAGCCGGTGGGCGGGAGGTAGGTTGGCCCCAGCGGCGCGGCCCCCGCCAGGGGCACGACGCTGCCCGCCGGCGGGCGGCCGACGCCGGGGGGGCCGCGCGCGCCCTTGCCCGCCGCGGCGGGCGCTAGAGGCATGATGCCAGAGAGGGCGGGAGGGAGCGAGCCGAGGGCGGGATTGTCGTCGGCCGCGCCGCCCGCCACCGCCTCCAAGTTGAGCTTCTCCAGCCCCGTGGCGAGCATCTTGTCGGCCGGGCTCGTGCCGATCGACGAGGCCGCCTCGGGCGCAGATCCGTCAAAGCCTGGGAGTGCCGTGGCGCCCGCCGATGGGAGGGCCGTCTTGAGCGAGGCGGGCAGGGGCAACGATCCCGGTGCCGCGCCGAGCGGGCTGACGTTCGAGTCAAAGAGCTCGGAAGACAGCTGGCCCAGGCCAAAGTCGGGCATCTTTTGCAACCCGCCCGGAGCGCCCGCGGGCGCGGCCGCAGCGACACCGCCGTTACTGCCGCACGCGCTCGTGTCCCCAAAGCCAAACTGCAGCTTGGAGGAGTTGCCGGGCAGCTGCGTGGGCATGATGACGCCCGCGGTGACCGTCGTGTCCGCCACCGTCGCGCCGGGCAGCGCGCCGACCGGGGTGGGCGCGCCCGACATGCCCAGGATCGCAGGGTCCATCAATGGCATGGCGGTGCTCGCGCCCGCCGCGGGCGCCGCAGAGAGCCCGGCCGGCATGGGCCCCAGCAGGCCGTCGGCCGGCGTGGGGAGCGAAGTCATCAGCGGGAGCGGGCCGTCGGCGGAGTCCGCCTTGGGCAGGGGCAGGCTCGACACCGTCGAGAGCGACGCGTCCGGCGCCATCACCGACTGGAGGTCGGCGGTGAGGTCAGAGCCGCTGTCAACCTTTGGGACCGAGGAGCCGCCGTTGCTGTCCGGCTGGGCGGCGGCGTCGCCGGTGGGAGGCGGCGTCGCCGAGCCCTTGCGCCCGCGGCCCCTCCCGCGCGATCCGTCCTCGCCACCCTGCGGGGAGTGCCGTCGACGCGTCAGGGGGTGGCGCGCACGGCGGGGTGTGCGGGGATGGCGGGCAGAGGGGGGCCGCCGCGCCTCCCCCTTGCCCTTGCGCTCAGCCTTGCCACCGCGGCCCTTGCCGCCGCGCTCGCGCATGCCGGGCGTGGAGCTCGAGCCCTCCTCGGGCGCGACGGCCTCCGCCTTGGCGGGCGGTGCGGGCGACGGGGACGGCTCAAACACCTGCACCCAATTCTTCTGCTGGCCCCACTTGTTGTCGGCAACCGGCGCCGGTCTCAGCACGGCCGGCGCGGGCGACGGGTTGGAGGGCTTGGAGGCGGCCGAGGGGGGCGGCGCCGTGGGGGCCGGGCTGCCGTTCTCCGTCGGCTTATCGCCCCTGGGCGGACGAGGGGGGCGCTCGCGGTCCTCCCCGTCGCGGCCGCGGCCGCCGCGGCCGCCGCGGCTGCGCTCGCCGTCGCCCTTGCCCCGCCCGCGCTCGCCCTTGCCGCCGCTGCCCTTGCCGCCGCCGTCGGCGTCGTCGCCCTTGGGGCGCGAGCCGCGCGAGGGCGGCCGCCGCTCCTCTGCCCGGCTGCCCGCCTGCTCGTCGTCGGCCCGCCGCGCCTTGGTCGGCTTCTTGTTGGACGTCCACTCGGTGTCGCGGTTTTTAAAGACGCCGGACCCGTTGAAGAATTTATCCACCTCCACCACCGCCTGGTCCTGAGTTGTGATGTCGTTCCGCTGCAGGATGTCCTTCACCTCCTTGAGGTCCTTGCCGAGTGTCGCTGCTATCGTCGCACAGTCCACCCCTTCCGCCATGCAGGCTGACCGCCGCGGCACCTCGACGCTGCCCGCGCGGCCGCCTCCGGAGGAGCCCACCTGAGCGCGAGCGTGCGGGGCGTGAGCACGCCGTGTCGTGCCGCGTCCCACGGTGCGTGCTGGGCGGCGCGGGGCGGGGGGGGGCACGGCTCCGGGCCCAGCGGCAGGAGCACAGGGCCCGCACGGCCGCGCTGTGAATCGCGGCGCGATCCGCGTCGCAGGGCGCGCCGCCGCGACGCCGCGGCTGCCGCGCGCGCCGATTCGACGCGCGGCAGAGCGCGCGGACAGCGCTGGTGGGGCGGCCGCCCGGTCGCGGGGACGGGGTGGGGTGGGGCGGGCACGCCTCCGCGGCAAGAGCAGAGGCGCAGGCGCCCTCTGCTGACAGCAGGCTCTGGGTGCGTGCTGTCTGGTGCGCGAGTTTCTTTTTCTTGGCTTGGCGCACCCAAAACAAAGCTAGCTCGTGACGAGTGTGTGCTAGTGCAGGGCGAAGTGGCAACGGTAGATGGGCGAGCATGACGAACAAGCACTTCCCGCTGCCGCCGACTTTGACCCGCGCGCCCGCGCACCTAGTCCTAGACCCTCACAACAGCGATAGGTGCCAGCTGGCCACACACCTCCACACATTTCATCTATGCCCTTGAGGAGAGTGGCCTGTCGTCTGTTGACGAGCGTGCTCTCTTCACACTCAGCCCAGCTGTCGCGTAAGCTGCGGACTGTCTCGCTCAAGGCGCTCAACCCCATGTCCTGTCATGAACGCGAAACCAACCTCTGACATCGCACGGTCCCACATCGCCGCAAAAGAGAGACAACAGGAGCCTTCGCCAGGTCGTGTGAAGAGCACACATGATGTAGTGAGTGAGTGGTCCCGGGCCCTGCGGGGAACTAAGTCGGCGCAAGTTAGTCTGTGAGCTGGACGAGGGCTAGTGGTGCGCCGAGGCGGGTCAAGTGGTGAAGTGCTCCCGGGAGTCGTGGTCGGAGGCCGGGACACTACGCGCACTAACTTAGTGCGCGGAAGTGAGTGCCTCCGGCCGGCCGCGAGGGGAGTGGTCCGGCGGGCCGCTCGTAGTGCCCTTCGCCGGCGGACGGAGGCGGGCTCGGCTACTACGCGCACTAACTTAGTGCGCGGAAGTGAGTGCCTCCGGCCGGCCGCGAGGGGAGTGGTCCGGCGGGCCGCTCGTAGTGCCCTTCGCCGGCGGAGGGAGGCGGCTCGGCTACTACGCGCACTAACTTAGTGCGCGGAAGTGAGTGCCTCCGGCCGGCGAAAGAGTAGAGACATGCACAAGCTCACTTCTCCATCGCCAGCCCGACGCGCTCATACAGGTTGACCCATATAATCTCTCCTACTAGTTACCGCTGTCACTGTCTCAGGCCCGCTCACAACACTAATTTCCCCGCCGATGGTGGATCCCCGCGCTGGTCGGCCGATGAGGCCGCCTGTGCCTCGCCCAGTTCCCCCTGCTTCTCTTGAGGCTACTCCTCCTCTCGAGGACCGGCCTGCCCATGCTGCTCCCCAGAGCCAGCGCCCGGCTCGGCATTGGCGGATGTTGAGGCTGAGACCTCTGCGAGCCTAGACCCCAAGCTTAGCGGATTCCCGGGGGGGGTGTCGAGGCGGTGCGTTTGTCGGGACGCGCCGCCCGATTGGTAAGCTCCGTCCCCCACACAGTAGTGGTACCGCGCCTCCCGTGCTTCACGGTTGCGTTGGAATCGTGCTCCATCATCCTCTTCTTGCACGGGCGGGCCGGGCTGGCTGGCCGGTGGGGTGTCTCCGGTTAGGTCAATGACAGCAGACGACTGGCTCGGCCCTGCCGGTGACATCGCAGGAGCCGTGGACGTGCTTGGCTCTTGGACGGACGCTGCCGAGGCCGGAGGTGGTGCAGAACCAGCCGATGGCGAAGGCGACGGCGCGCTGCGCGACGCATCGCCCCGAGCCTGGCGAGCACGGCTCGACGCCGCAGCGGTGTTGCTGTCGCACGCCCTGCGCTTGCCTGCCCGCTTGCCTGCATGGGTGCAGTGGGTGAGTGCCTCCCGCCACCCCGCGCACTAAGATAGTGCGCGTAGTGAGTGGGCCGCCGGCGAGCGGGCTAGTGGGTGAGTGAGTGCCTCCCGCCACCCTGCGCACTAAGATAGTGCGCGTAGTGAGTGGGCCGCCGGCGAGCGGGCTAGTGGGTGAGTGCCTCCCGCCACCCTGCGCACTAAGATAGTGCGCGTAGTGAGTGGGCCGCCGGCGAGCGGGCTAGTGGGTGAGTGCCTCCCGCCCACCCCGCGCACTAAGATAGTGCGCGTAGTGGGTGGGCCGCCTTCTAGTGGTCGGCGAGGCCGTGGCCAGTGCCCCGGCCCTGCGGCGCCGCCTAGTGAGTGAGTGCTCGCCGACCCTCCCCACACTAAGTCGTCATGTGTGCTGTGTTTTTTAGTTGGCGAAGGCTCCTGGAGACAACGCGATAAAAAATTCCCACCATCCCTCCGCGTGCCTTCAGAGCTGCGCTGCGCTGGGCATGCCGCACGCCAGCTTCCTGCGCAACCATGGCAAGACGGCGCGCACGCCGCGCCGCCCCTTCGAGAAGCAGCGCCTCGACATCGAGATGAAGCTGATCGGCGAGTTTGGCCTCAAGAACAAGCGCGAGGTCTGGCGCACGCAGCTGACGCTCGCCCGCATCCGCAAGGCGGCCCGGGTGCTGCTCACCTTGGAGGACAAGGACCCGAAGCGGCTGTTCGAGGGCAACGCCCTGCTGCGCCGCCTCGTGCGCCTGGGCGTGCTCGACGAGTCCAAGGCGCAGCTCGATTATGTGCTCGCGCTGAAACCCGCGGTGCGCGCAGGGAGAGCGCGAGAGGCCCTGCCCGCCGGGCGGCGCGCCGGACGTGGCGAGAGGTGCCCGATTGGCCGAGGGCGCCGTGGCGGGAGGCGGTGGCCGTCTCGCCGCGCCGAGAGGGGCGGACCGCCGCGCGTGCACTTGCGGCAGTGGGGGGGGGGGAGAGGGCGCGCTGCCGCGCCAGCCAACCTGGCATCCAGGCGCCTGAGTGATGCGTCCCCGCCGCCGCAGGACTTTATGGAGCGCCGGCTGCAGACACAGGTCTTCAAGCTTGGCCTCGCCAAGTCGATCCACCACGCGCGCGTGCTCATCCGGCAGCGGTGCGCTGCTGCACCCCCTGCGCGACCCCATGCCGTCCACCACCGCTCTCCCTGTCGCCCGTCTCTCCCTGTCGCCTGCTCCGCCGCTCGCCATGCCGCTCGCCCCTCCTCGCCCTCCTCGCGCCTCTGCCGCCTACCTCACCCACCGAGCGCCCCGCCCCCGCAGGCACATCCGCGTCGGAAAGCAGATTGTCAACATTCCGTCCTTCATGGTTCGCACCGAGTCGCAGAAGCACATCGACTTCTCGATCACCTCGCCCTTCGGCGGCGGCCGGCCGGGCCGCAACAAGCGGAAGGCCATCGCGGCCAAGGGCGGCGGCGGCGGCGACGAGGAGGAGGACATGGAGTAGATGCACCCGCTGGGGGGGGCGGTGGTGCGCCAGCTAGCGCGGGGCCGCGCCCCGCGAAACACCTCTGGGGCCGGCGCTGCGTGGTCTACGTCGACGGCTCTGCGGCCGCGCTGCCCAGCGTCCGCGCGCGTGCAGCATGTGAGAGGACGGGAGGTTTGTGACTGGGAACGGCGGCCAGCCGGGCCACTGCGAGCGAATGTGAGAGGGGCCGGCGAGGGCCGAGGCCGGCTGCGGGGGGGGCGGGGGATGTGCGACGCGCGCGGGCTCGGGGTGGCGTCGGGCCGATGTTAACCTTTAAGCTACTTTCATTTTGGTTGGGGGCGCGAGTGCCACACCCTGCACCCTCGAACTCGTGCGGCTCGACCCCGCTCTCGCGAGTCGCGTGAGCCGTGACGACTGTCGGGTGTCTCGCGAGAGCGTCCTCTGGCGGGGGGGCGCGAGGGCCCTAGAGGGTATCCATGCGGGGGGGAGATGGGGTTCGATGGCCCGCCGCAGGCGCCGATTTTTTGGATGTTTTTCTTTTTTTGCGCGATTTTCAGTCTTGTTTCATGGGAATTCAGCATACTTGCGGCCATGCTATCACGCCTTGCGACAGCCTGTCGGCGCTGCTGACCGTGCTATGCTGCACAATTGATCACCTGCATAGCTCGCGGCCTTAGTATCAAGCATTCAGTGACGACCTGATCGTACGGCCAGTAGGAAGGTGTCCTTCCATCGTGTGCACGCTTCTGACGCAATGCGCGTCACAAACTGCCTCGGATTGGCTGCTGGCACTCTCGAGGCTATGCCTACACAGCCTCGCGCGCATGGGCAGTCAAGAGGGACCACGCACCTTCTCAGGACAGCACCAGTGCCTCTCTCTTGGACCGGCAAACTTGGTGGTCTCGTGTCACCAATGTGGGACCAGTGCGGCATCGCGCCATCGACAGCTCCTGAACTGCGCCTCACCACTGACCGGGAAGGCCGCCAAGTGGGCCAGCACAGGTCGCACATTGTGGCAGCAGTCAGCAGTGCATGTCTGATAGCTAGAGCAGCAGCGTCAGGGTCTCGCAGGGTCGGAGATCGTGTCAAGCCTCTCGCCCGGCCGGCCGCGTGCAGACGTCGGCCTGTCTGGACTGCTGTCTGGAGTGATCTGTCGGCGGTCAGTACGACCGATCAGGTCGGAGTTTTCTGATGGTTAGAGGGTCTATCTGTATGTACTCCTCGAGATCTCTCCAAATCTGCCCTCTGATCAACCGTGATCATTCGGGAAGTCGGTGCTAATAGAGACTAATAGAGCCGGAGCCCCGTTTCCGCACTGCTGCGCGGCGCACGGTGCCTCCGGGGGCCCCCGCGCCCCCCCAGAGAGAGCGTCGCGCTCGCGGCTCGCGCCGCGGCCCCCCCGCGCGGGCCGCGCGGCCCGCGGCCGCGCGCCCGGCGGCGAGCCGGCGAGAAACCGGGCGGAGACCCGGAGAGCGGGGACTTGCCACTTCATCGATGAAGAGTGGCAACGTGCCCCCGTCCACTCGGCGGGGTCGCAGCCGCCTCTGCGCGTCCTGGGGATGTACCTTTGTCGCGCGCCGGAGACGAGACTCGACGCCGCTGAGATCGGAGATCAAGCTCTGACAGGTCGCACGTCGCTCCTTTGACGCCGACGTGACTCACCCGTGCAGAGGTAGCAGAGCACATCAGCGATCAGGACACGGTCTCGACACGCTCGGTGCGACGCCTGCGACCCGTCTCGGGTCAGGTGGCACGACGCTCATCGCGCCTGCCAGCGCTGCCGTGCAGGTTGCCACGACGAGGTCGAGCACGCTTCTATACGCTCGCCCAGCCTTCGCCCTTCCTTTCCATTAATTCTTTTTCCTTCGCGGCACGCGATGGCGGCAAGCCCTCGTGCACGCCCGCCCTCGACACGCCGAAGACCAACCGGCGACGGACCGCGGTGAGACCGCGCCGCCCTCCGCGCCCGCCCGCGCCCGCAGCGTGAACACATGCGCGCGTCCCTCTCCGCACGGAAACTTGCGCGCCAGCCGCGCAGCAGCCTCACATGCAGCGCGCATTGGCATGCTCGCCCCCTGGGCCGCCGACGGCCCGGTCGAGCGGGCTGCGCGGCCGCCGCACACCATCAGGCAGGCGCACGACCACCTGCAGCACGCCGCAGCCCACCGCGCAGCCCTCCCAGCCAAGGCTGCGCCTCACAGCTACACAAACAGGGCGCACAGCAGAGCACAGCGCATAGCACACGCCGACGCGCGCGCAGCACACGCAGACTCACGCGCGAATCCAACACGCACACGCGCACAGCACGCGCGCATCGCACTCCAGCGCAGCGCTGCACACAGAGCACACTAGACCATACCAGTGGTACTGGTACCATCGCCTCTGAGAGGCACCACCCCTCGGGGAGGGGGCGCGTCCGCCCAGCGGCCAGCGCCCCTCCGCCCAGCGAGCGTACCCGCAGCGCCCGGGGAGCGAGCGTCCGCCCTGCGGCCAGCCCGCTCTCCCCGCACGGCGTCGACCGCCCCCAAAGCGAGACAGGATGCACCCGCATAGTTAGCCGCTACGGCTCTATACGGGGGCATCCTCTCCCCCATCCGCATGTGAGGAACTGCGTACTACACTGCGTCACCCTCCCCAGCATCAGTGGGTTGCCTTTTGGGGTCTGAGCCCAACGGAGAAAAAAGAAAAGTGACCAAAATCGGCCCTGGATGTGCGGTTAATGACTGCACTCCAAGTGCTCCAAGTGCTCCAAATCGAAATCAGAAACCACGCGAGATCCACGTCTCCCGCCCCTCGGCTCTCGCGCGAGCCACGATCTCCTGCCCGATGTCCGAAAACGGAAGGCACGAATAGCCGGACACAGGAACGGCACAGCTCAACGGCAGAAATCCCACACACACATCCACTCACCTCTCGCACGAACAGTCGAACAGGTTCCCAGAGCCGGACGCAGGAACGGCACTGGCCAAAACACACCCACACCTGACGCACGAACAGGTACGAACAGCCGGACGAAGGAACGGCAGCCGTCACACACCCAGCCGGGGCAAGACAGAAGGCCGCCGAGGGGAAAGGGAGTTCGCAACTAAACGGCCGAAGCGGGTATCTCTCCAGTTCACGCCCGCCGACCCCGATGCACCTTATTACCCGAACCCCCTACCTGCAAGCCCACCGAGAGGGGTAGGGGTCAGCCTTGTTCAATTAAACACGAGTTCCACCGTAGCGCCGCATAACTCTAAGCGCGCGTGTGAGCGAGGGCAGAAATGCAACGCTCACGCGGTCCCGGGCTCGGTCCTCCCACATTCTCTAAATGATGAGTCTCGCTCTCCCTTATACAATAAGCTATAAGGGGCCTCTGCGAAATAAAAAGCGGAGGCCTCAGTGGGAGCGAACTCTGACGGAGAGGGAGGTTCCCCGTGTTTGTTTGCCCTTCCTTTCCATCCCATTAGGCAGCCGGGGAACGGTGGCGGTCAGAGGCAAAGCCTGCGAGGGGTGGTGGAACCACATGTCACGGCCACCGCCGGCTCGACCCCACGATAGCCTCCGGAGGCTGACTTTGAGGCACAATCATCGGACGATGTCGACGAGTTGGGTCGCTCTCGCGGTAGCCAGATGACCCCCCACATACTAGTATCATCGCGGCCAGGGCCGCAGGAAGTGCGGGGGAGGGCGCTGGGAGCAACACGGAGCCCCGTTGGACGCGTTTTCAAGATTAGCGTGTCACTGTCAGACCGAGAGTGAATTGGAACTAGCCGTAGCCCGTTCGCCCGACTGCTGGGACACACCTCGTCCTCTTGCGTCCTCACACACAGTCCCGACACCCCCGCGAGTCCGAGAGCTCGTCGGGCGCGACACCGTCGCGTCCGTCCGCCGCACAGCCACAGAGCGAGTGACGGGTAATCGAGGCCGTGGCCAAGAAAATCAAAATATTAAGCTCTCTGTTTGGACCACGGCAAAAAACTCGACGGTTTTGGGCATTTCAGAGCACGTTGAATCAATTGGCTGAGCTAGAACTCTCCCTCTCCCTTTCCTTTCATAATTATTGACTCAAAACTCGATGATTGCGCGACTTTGGAGAAGTTCTAGCTCAGCCAAAACGTTCCTCTCAAAAAATTGACTTAGGAAGCCGCAAACGGCAGCTTCTGAAAGCCTCACCGGCGCTTATTCTCTTGATCTTTCAAAACCTAGGCCTGCGGCCAAAATTTTCTAAAGGCCGCTGCGCGGCCAGCGCAATGCGCAACCAGTCAGCGACCGACAGTCAGCAGCAGACGGTGACGATTGGCGGCCTCGCGCCCTCAGTCGACCTCCTCTACCAACTCCCCTGCCCAGCCCATATGCCTCATCCAAGGTGGCGCAACCACTCGCGCAGGGAGAGAGAGAAAGTCGGCGATCTGCGCCGCGCAGAGATGAGCTCCGCCTCGTCTGCGTCGAGGTCGCCCATCGCAGGGCTGTCATAGCGCCATATGACGTACTGCATGTTGTTCATTACTTCGTAGATGCCAAAGTCGAGGACAATCTCACTCAGTGATGGCGACGGCTGCACTCCCGGCTGGCGGTACGAGAGATGAAGGCTAATGTACTTGCAGTGCGCGGTGCCTGCCGGCGCGAACAGGGCCCGGTACAAAAGAGGAGGCGACGTCTCCCTCGTCCACGAGCGCCTCAATGTGCGCATCGACGGTGTAGCCAGCTTTGAGAGACGGGAACGAGCGGCGGTGAATCGCCGACAGCGGCGCCTTCGTTCCTTTCCAGTGAATCGCCGGCGGGTGCCCTGAGCGTCGTATCTGTCGGCCAGTTGCCGCACCGCCGGCAGCAGATCCGCAGCAGCCGCCCAGATGGCGCCGGTTAGGACAGGAGCGAAGCCGCGTGGACACGGCTGAGCGACGCCGTGAGCCTCGTTTGGATGCTGCAGGCATGCCGGGCAGCGCGCGTGCTCCATACCGCGCGTCGGGCGCCCGCCGAGATCTTCGATTTCTTTGGTGTAGGGGACCAAAAACCCTGAAAATTTTCTTCGCCTGCGGCGGGCAGTTAATTTCGCTACTTTCGCTTTCACAGCTCTTTCACACGACTTTATCCGTCACTCGCTCCACAGCGGTCAGCGCGGCTCTCTCGCGCGCTCTCCTGCTGTCTGCGAGTGCGACTGTGCCCCGCGAGCCGCGTCCTCCCGGAGCTCGCGCGTCGCCGTCGGGCGCGACCGTCGCGTCGCGTGCCGCGCACAGGCGCACACGGCACACGCGACACCGACGGCACAGCCGCCGCTGCCGCGTGCCGGGTTTCAGCGACAGACTGTCAGTGTCGACAGACGGCGACAGGCGACAGCGCGGCTCTCTGCTCGCTCTCGCGCTCTCCGCATATAATAACCATATACACATATCTGGGGAGAGACCGCTCTCGCTGGTGTCAGACCACATACATGTATGTACACGGGTACGGAAGGACGGCGCGCGCACAAAGTCTGGGGTGAGACACAGTGTCCAGCTCCACAGCTGGTGCCTGGTCCACACACGGCGCGTGTGGCGTGACCCCGTGACGTGCTGAGCCTGCCTGTGCATGTCGTCTCTGAGTCCCTGAGACGCCGCGCTGGCGCGCTCGAGCCGGATGCGGGCCTGCGCAAACCGCAATGGCGATCGGCCGCGTCCTAGGGTCCCAAGAGAAGCCGGGGTCCCGCCGCAACCAATGTTGCCCGCACAGAAGCCGGGCTCCTACCACTCACAGACCCGTCTACCAGCGGCCTCCCTGCCAGCCTCATGCTACGTGGCCGACCGTCGGGTACTTTCCGGTCAGCTTTGAGTACCTGTGGCGAGGGGAGGCCGAGTGTTTGAGAAGTCCGCCTCCTCTCTTGTCTCGAGGCAGTCCGGCTGGCGATGGATCTCAAATCCCCGGACCCCAGCGACGCCTTCTGTGATGCCATGTGCGCGCGGGCAGGCCGCCTGGCTGCCAGTCTCGCATCTACCAGGGAGCATCACCAGTCGTCGAGAATCTTGAGGTGGTCGTCGTCCACACCTGCAGCGCCGGCGGTGGGTCTCGACTCGGCGAGGCGGTGGCGGTGGCAACGGAGGTGGCTGCGGATGTGGGCTGCACACACCCGTCAGGTCGCTGTGTGCGTCCTCCTCTTTGAGGGACATCATCGCGAAGCCCTTGCTGCGATCGCGGGGGGAGTCGCGAGCTCACTGGGCGGCGAGCGGCGAGGGCGGCGGGAGAGAGGCGGCGCGGCTTGGGCTGGGAAACAGGCAAGGGCTGGGCAGGGGCAGGGCAGGGCGAGGCCAGGGAGAGCAAGGGTGTGGTGAGCGTCTCCCAAGCGTGGGCCATCTCCCGCATCTCCTCCGTCCTGAGCAGGCAGGAGCCCGAAGGCCTTCAAAATGCAACGCCCGGTGCACGTGGGGAGCAGTGTGTGCGAGTGTGTGGCGAGGAGAGTGGCGGGCGTGCAACGCACGGAGTGGAGTGGGAGGAAACGATGCCGAGTTGCTAACGTCGAGCCGTCTGGGAAGTGGCAGCAGGGCTTTCGCAGGGGCGCCGGCGCCTGGCGTCCTTGCCCGCAAAGATGCCGTACGGGCCACCGGGCCCGTAAAAGTCAGCGCCGGCGCTCACGTCAATCACGCGCCCCTTGAGCGCCAGCAGTAGCGGCTTGCGCCGGTCCATCCCGTTGTAGGCGAGCAGTCTGCGGTGCGCGGTGAGTGACAGGGCGTGGGAAATCGCGGGTGGGAGGAACGAGGTCTGGCGTTGACGCACTCGTCCTTTGTAAACGTCTTGGGGTTCTTCTGCAGCTTCGTGGAGAGCGCTGCGGCCTCCGCACGCGCGCTCGCCTCGTCCATGGCTGCGAGGCGGCGCTGCAGCCAGCGATAACCAAAGAGGAGCGCGACCGGTGTTGCGAGGACAAGGAGCCACGTCGGAGGCTGGCCGAGCGACTCGAGCGCCCACGCCATCGGCCAGATGCGTTGATCACAGTAGCCCCGGGAGCCTTCGCCAGGTCGTGTGAAGAGCACAGATGCTCTAGCCTCACATGTCACTTCCTGTCGTCTGTTGTTTGAGTTGTGCCCTTGTTTGTGCCCTTGGCACCGTGGAGTGCTGGGGGGGGCGACAGGGAGGATGTGGCCCTGAGTTATGTGTACGCCGACTCAGGGTGTGTGGCAGCCAGCTGGCTGTGTGTCTTGTGAGCTTGTTTGTGACTGTGTGTCGTTCGTGCGTGTCGTCATCATCTGTCCAGCGTCCACCCATACCGCGTTGGTGTCCAGTCCGAGCCTGGCTGTTCTTCACCTTTCTTGTTTCTACCTACGTCCTACCTACTAAGATGATGTAGTGAGTGAGTGGTCCCGGGCCCTGCGGAAGTCGGCGCAAGTTAGTCTGTGAGCTGGACGAGGGCTAGTGGTGTGCCGAGGCGGGTCAAGTGGTGAAGTGCTCCCGGGAGTCGTGGTCGGAGGCCGGGACACTATACGCGCACTAACTTAGTGCGCGGAAGTGAGTGCCTCCGGCCGGCCGCGAGGGAGGGGAGTGGTCCGGCGGGCCCCCGCTCGTAGTGCCCTTCGCCGGCGGACGGAGGCGGGCTCGGCTACTACACGCACTAACTTAGTGCGCGGAAGTGAGTGGCAGAGTGGGCCGCGGGCGAGCGGGCTAGTGGGGGTGCCTCCCGCCACCCCGCGCACTAAGATAGTGCGCGGGGGTGAAATTCTCAAAAAGGTGCAGCACTTCTAGCCGACATCGACAAAAGTCCCTCTCTAGCCCCGCGGCGAGCGGCCCCGCCGGAGGCGAAGAAAATTTCGCCATCTAGCGCTCGCAACACATAGATTTGTGCATAAATCAACACCTCCAATCTTCGGGGGAGTGACGGATAAAGGCGTGCGAAAGAGCTATGAATCCGAAAGCAGCGAATCCAAGTGATGGCCCGCCGCAGGCGAAGAAAATTTAGGGTTGGGGTTCCCCTATGCCAAAGAACTCTGAGAGGATTTCGGCGGCCGGCGCGCCGAGGCACAGCGGTTCGCGCTGCCTGCTCGCGCTGGTTACACCGTTGCTGTGGCCGTCTTCGTCCGTATTGTACACCGAGCTGGCGCCACAGCAGAGTACAACAACGGCTCGGACGAACTGCTCACTACATCATCAGAGGGCCCGGCAAGGTCCACGGCGGAGCTGGCGGTGGTGGGAGTGGTGGTAGGAACGAAGGCGCACCTGTCGGCGATTCACCGCCGTTCGTTCCCGTCTCTCAAAGCTGGTTACACCGTCGATGCGCACATCGAGGCGCTCGTGGACGAGAGAGACGTCGCCTCCTCTTTCGTCCCGGGGCACTGTTCACGCCGGAAGGCCCCGTACACTGCCAAGTACATTAGCCTTCATCTCTCCTACCGCCGGCCGGGAGTGCAGCCGCCACCAGTGAGATTGTCCTCGACGTTGGCACCTGCGAAGTAATGAACAACAGGCAGTGCGTCATATGGCGCTATGATAGCCCTGCGGTGGACGTCCTCGACGCAGACGAGGCGGAGCTCATCTGCGCGGCGCAGATCGCCGACTGTCTCTCCCTCCCTGCGCGAGTGGTTGCACCACCCTGGATGAGGCATCTGGGCTGGGGCAGGGCCGTTAGTAGAGGAGGGCGACTGAGGGCGCGAGGCCGCCAATCGTCAAAGTCTGCTGCGACTGACTGTCGGTCACTGACTGAGCAATGAGCAATCGCATCGGCGGTTTCACTCACGCTCACAATCGGGTTACATCCAGGTCTCTGTGCGGGATGTGCCGGGGGGCTGCCCCCCAGTCGATTGCCGCATAGTTCGTCGATGTAACCCTACCAGAAAGCTGTATTCACACCTACCCTTCCAAAAAAAGAAATGTCCGGGTTTTGTCGAAGATCCGGCGGGTTTATCGGAGCATCACCCGCGGGCGTACCGTCGGGTACTAATTTTAAGAGCAAGTAAACAGCAATAGATCCGGCCCTCAACCGGCCTAACCGGTACCCAGCCCTCACGGAATTCGGTCCCTCGTTGTACAGCAATCGATCCTTCACAGCTGCCCGCCCTGCCAAACTTGCTGTTGAGTGTACTCTCTCTTGCATCCCGCCAGTGTGATGTATCTGCTGTGCCGAACGTGCGCGTTTGGCGGAACCTCTCACCTGGTGCGCGTGGCAACGGGTCTGTGGGGCGGCCCCCTGTACCCCCTCCCCCCCCCGCCCGGGTGTTTAGCAATTGGTCCCTTGGCAAGTGCAAATCGGTCCCCTGGCTCCAGGAACTGATCCGGCACTACACCCGGATCTATTGCTGTTTACTTGCTCTTAAAATAAGTACCCGACGGTAGTGGGTGGGCCGCCTTCTAGTGGTCGGCGAGGCCGTGGCCAGTGCCCCGGCCCTGCGGCGCCGCCTAGTGAGTGAGTGCTCGCCGACCCTCCCCACACTACGTCGTCATCGGTGCTGTGTTTTTTAGTTGGCGAAGGCTCCTGGTAGCCCCGGCGATTGGTGACTTTTCACACCCTACTTGCTTTCTCACGGGAAAAAAAATGGTACCGTAGTGTCCCGGCTGCGCTAGCGCGCCCGAGCCTCCGACTGGCGCTTCTTCCGTTCCGCTCGCGATGGCTGAGCCAGCCCCGGACATCGACCTTTTCCGCGCGGGCCCAGTCCGCTACCTCGGCTACTCAAACGAGGCCATCACTGCCCGGCGCCCGCCAAACGGACGCTGTCGAGAGAAGCGGCCACCGGGATCGCACGGCCCAGTAGGTGGGCGAGGCGTTCCGGCCGCTAGTGCCCCGCTGGTGCGTGAACGCCTCCTACGGCCTCGCCGGCTGCTACGTCGTCACCGACGCGGCGTGGCGCGCACAGGCGCCACCGGGTGGGCGGAGTGCTGCTGCAGAGGTCGCTGCCCGTTAGAGGCCTCCACACACATCAAAGACCCCTCACACAGACGGGCCGCCGTCGCGGATCGGGGCGAGGAGGACACCACGCCACCTGTCCTTCGCCTCACCATTCACCTCGCCTGCAGGCGGCAGACACTCTCATGTGGCAGGGGCTCGCGTCGATTGCTCTGCCGGGCGCAGTGATCAACCGGGTGGTCTGGGCGGCGGGCAAGGCGCTGCCGCCGTCATCCCGCATTCCGACGCTGTGCGGGCTGGCTGCCATACCCGTCATCGTGCGCCCCTCCCCGAGAGACGTCTGAGAGGCTTCCGAGAGTTTCCAAGAGCCCGCCCCACCCGTGACAACCCGCCACGCCGACACACATGCACGTGTCACGAACAGCCCTTTCGAGGCTGACTTGTCTGTGCCGCCGAGTAGGTGCGTCCGATTGACCATTTGGTGGACGGCCTGCTGGACAGCACCGTGAGAAAATGGCTTTGAGGCCACTGCGTCGCACCTACCTGCCTACGAGCCGCCTCGCGCGGTTCTCGTCTCGCTCCCGAGAGGTCTTTCTCTCTCGATGTGCGTGAAGGTCAAGTCCTTCTCTCCCTCGTCGTTGTGCGTGTGCAAGTGTCTTTGCGTCGCATAGTTCGGACTACGGACCGTTTCCCCTTTGGCGTCGGCCGCGTCGCCGCTCTTCGCGGCCGACGAATGGGAATGCGGGCGAGCGTCTCACGCACACACACGGAGCTCTGCGTGCGGGGGTGCGCCATGCGGCGGTGTGACAGTGTCACACGGTGTGTGCGCGCGCCCCCCGCGGTGCACGCGCGCACTGTGATATGTGGTCAGGTCAACAGAGGTGCCCCACAGCCACAACACCGGCACCGCGCGCGGCACACGCGCGCAGAGACTTCCCCCCCTCCCCACGGACTGCGGTGCACCGGTGCTCGCCCCGGCGTCTCGCGGACCGCCACACACACTCCCACTCGCGCCACTCCCGGGGCGCGGGGGCGCGGCCGAAAACGCGGAAACACGCCGAAGGATCAGCTTCATCTCGATGTCGAGGCGCTGCTTCTCGAAGGCGGAAGGGGCGGCGCGGCGTGCGCGCCGTCTTGCCATGGTTGCGCAGGAAGCTGGCGTGCGGCATGCCCAGCGCAGCGCAGCTCTGAAGGCACGCGGAGGGATGGTGGGAATTTTTTATCGCGTTGTCTCTCTTTTGCGGCGATGTGGGACCGTGCGATGTCAGAGGTTGGTTTCGCGTTCATGACAGGACATGGGGTTGAGCGCCTTGAGCGAGACAGTCCGCAGCTTACGCGACAGCTGGGCTGAGTGTGAAGAGAGCACGCTCGTCAACAGACGACAGGCCACTCTCCTCAAGGGCATAGATGAAATGTGTGGAGGTGTGTGGCCAGCTGGCACCTATCGCTGTTGTGAGGGTCTAGGACTAGGTGCGCGGGCGCGCGGGTCAAAGTCGGCGGCAGCGGGAAGTGCTTGTTCGTCATGCTCGCCCATCTACCGTTGCCACTTCGCCCTGCACTAGCACACACTCGTCACGAGCTAGCTTTGTTTGGGGTGCGCCAAGCCAAGAAAAAGAAACTCGCGCACCAGACAGCACGCACCCAGAGCCTGCTGTCAGCAGCAGAGGGCGCCTGCGCCTCTGCTCTTGCCGCGGAGGCGTGCCCGCCCCACCCCACCCCGTCCCCGCGACCGGGCGGCCGCCCCACCAGCGCTGTCCGCGCGCTCTGCCGCGCGTCGAATCGGCGCGCGCGGCAGCCGCGGCGTCGCGGCGGCGCGCCCTGCGACGTTCGCCTGCCCGTTCTCTCGGCTGTCCGTTCTCGACTAAATAAATAAATAAAACGGGCATCTCTACTAGGAGATGGGTAAAAAGGAGCAGGAATTGTCGGTGTATGTGCAGGGTTCTTTGTAGGGATGGTCGGCGACTAGCCGGGGGTCGCCCTCCCGGTCTCGACTAAATAAATAGATCGTTCAAACTCTGAGACGAGATGGGATTTAGGGACATGTGTCCCCGCCCTGCACGATCTTGGTGTGAGGGATCTTCAATCCGTCCCCCCACCTCTCGTCACTACCCGACACACAGAAGAGCGGCAAGAGTTGGGGCTGCGGCTACGGCTGCGGCTGCGAGAGGGGCCGGAGTCGCGGGGGGAGCCGCCGCGCAGCATTGACGCGCGCGCACCGCTCTTGCTCCGCTCGCCACCTCTCGCAAAGCTCCAAAGTCAATTTTCACCACCTCCGGCAGGTCCTTTTCGCCTATCTTGCCGCCGTTCCACGCGCCTGGAAGAGCTCGTCGCCATAGCCGCATTGCTTCATTTGGTATTGCTAAAAATCTCTCTTGCTTCACGGCCTCCTGAACTGTCGTGTAGCACCCCTGCCGCCATCCCCGCGCCTCTTTTCGGCATCGTCGGGCTCGGTGTCATACTCGGAAGCAAGGCAGGCGGCGAGGTGGGGGAGGGAGCGCGCGGCGGTGCGCGCTCGGGGCTCCCGCTGGTGCTAGAAGGGCCAACGCCCAATGCGCTCAGCCTGTTCTTGTCCACCACCTTGGGAGAGGGGGGTGGGTGACCTGCGCCCTGTGTTGTTAAAAGTTTATTTGGATGCGCTTTCCGTTTGTGAGAGCAAACTCGCTCTCGCCCAGGTCGGTGAAGACTTGTTCACAGTGCTTCCAAGTGATAGCCGAGCTCTTTTTTGTCTTTCTATCATTTGTGGAGTTTCGGCGTACGCCGAAATTCATATGTGCGCGGCGTCTTTTTAGCCGTCGGGCTTTGGAAGATCAAGATGCGTATGAGATGATGGAGGCGCTCGCCGCGTGAGGCTCCCTCTCTCTCCGGCTGCGCGCCTGGGTGCGGCCTCCGAGGCGGCGGCTGGCGCGCGCGATAAGGTTTTTGCTCCCCTTCCCTGTGGGACCCGTGTGGCGTGTCTGACTGTCACTGTGCTGTCGCCTACTGTCTGAATACGTTTTCCACGTATTCCAAATGACCTCCCAGAGGCCTGTATTCCACCCGTATTCCACCCGTATTCCACGTATTCCATGGAATACGCCGTATTCCAAGCTCCAAAAATGGACGTATTCCGTATAAAATTTTCTTCGCTCCGCGAATTCAGACAGTAGGGTGCTGTGGTGAGAAGTGGGTTTCTGCTTTTGTGTGAATCTAGGCCCGCGGGTAGTCTCCCCCTATCCCCAGGGCCTCCAGGGCTCGCACCTCAACCTCTCACAGACCAGCGCAAAGCGCCGAAGTATTTTCTTGTCAATAGAGCTCTGCCAAGGTCTGTGAACGGCGGCCACGAGTGTGTGGGAAAGCTCGCTCCTCCCGCCCACAATGTTTGCTGCTTGTGCACGCACGCGCGGTGCGAAGGTGCCACCGTCAGAGCGGAGCGATCCACTGACCGACGAGGACGCTTTTATGATGACCGCGTTGCTCGACGGCGAGCACGGCTTCCTCACCTACAAGTCGTCAGGCCACCCTGTTGCTCCAGGCTCGACCTGCGAGCTGACTGTAGACCTACCTTCACCGTCGGTGATGGTTTGGAGCTGGGAGGAGGCTTGGGGGCGAGACATCCTCTTCAAGGTTGAGCTTCCAGGTCATGCCTCACAATGCCATCCCCAACTCTCTCGTCTCGCTGCCCTCAGCCTAGCACTCACCGCCACCGCCTTCCCCGAGAACTGCCAGGCGATGTGCCCAACGGCTGCTTCAATGCCGACGGGGCGCTAACCGGGGCGCACGCTAGCCGCGTGATGCGCCTCCCGGCTGGGCGAGTGCGGCTCGCGTGGTCCAACCCGTCGAGGGGCGGGCGGGAGATCAAGTACAAGTGCGCGAGCGGCTCTTCGGACGAGCTCGATGCGATGGCCGCGAGCGACGTGGTGGCCGCCGCCGCCGCGAGGACGGTTGCGGCGGCCATAGCGGCTGCGGTCAAGGCGGCGGCGGCGGCTGAGGCGGCGGGAGCGGCGGCGTCACGGACGGTGCAGGCGGAGGTGGTGCCGCCGTCTCCTCCTTGCCCGTCCGAGATGGAGCTGTCGGCAGTGGAGGAGGAGAGGGACGTGGGAGAGGAGGCGGCGGTGTTAGAGAAGGCGGATTGCTGACTCGAGACGACTGGGCCGGCGCAAGGCGCCCTCTCGGACTTGGCTGCCATGGCATCTGTGATGGGAGCACCGGCGGGGCGGAGGACGGCGTCGCCCGCCGGTCCGCCGGTGCGTGTGGGCGGTGGCGGTCCGCCGGTGGCGGTCCGCAGGGGTCGGGGGCGGGGGAGAGCGTGGGGCTGGGGGGCAGAGGGAACCCGCACGAACTACTACATCGTCCCCGATAATATAGTGGCATGGTGGGGGATGCATGTGCGTAGAGCGTAGAGTAAGAGCGCCCGAAGAACGCATTCGCGAATGTGGGGTTTACTCCCTATGAGGGAGAAAATGTGCGTCGGATACATTTCATAGGGAAAGAGTTCCAAAAACCTCCTTTCACGATACTACATTTCACAGCTCTATCGGGTATCGCCCAGTGGCAGTGCGCGCGCCCCATATATGGCCATGCGGGCCGGCGCGGCGCCAGCGAGCGGCGTCGGCCGGCGTGGCGTGCCTTCCCCCCTTGGTTTTGCCTTTTTCTCGTGTGTAGGATGTGCATGCACAACATCGGATCGAGACCCAGTCACGCACACGAGGCGCACAACGTGCCCGCACAACGATCAACGTCCCCGCAGCGCCGGCCCGCGCACCCCCCGACCGCCACCCCGCGCGCTCCCTCTCCCGCGTGTCCCGCCTCCCGCACGGCGGCGCACGCGGCGCGCGCTCTCTTCCGCTCCCGCCTCTTGTGTGTGTCATTCGAGGGGGGAATCTGTCTGTCCCCGCCACCGCGCGCCGCCGCAACCAGTGCGCAGTGGGAGCCCCAGCTCGGGAGAGACTGTCGCCATGCGTTAGTCGGCCTTTGCAGGCGCGTAGAACAGATAGGCGGGCTTGCAGCCGAGAGACTCGCAGCGCTCGACGACGACGCTCCAGCCCTCGCCGACCGGAGCGCTGCTCGATTGGTCAAACCACTGCGGCGGGCGGAGCAAACCAAGGGTGAGATCACAACGTGGATTCGCGGGCCGAGGAAAGGGGGGGGGCGGGGGGCAAAGGTTCCTGCCAAGCGCGCTTCTCATCGTCCAGGAAGAAGCCGCACCAGCCCTCGCTCGCCCTGCAGACAAGCCCGAGGAGCAGGGCCCGCGAGTGCGCGCCCTCTGGCAGCCTAAAGACCCAAACCAGCGACCTCAGCCGCTCGCCCGTTTGTAGAGGGTGACATCTCGACAGCGCTCTACTCGTGCTTTCACACACTAATGGGGGAGCGCAAGCCGCAGCACGCACCCGCCCTCGAAGGCGCAAGGGACCTCGATGCTCAGATCGACGCGACTCAGGATCGTCCGCGCGGCCTCGCCAGCGGTCGCCTCCGCCAGCGGCTCGACGTCCCAGACGATGGCGACGGTGATCACGGACGGCAGCGGCTGCACGACATACCGCCGGAGGAGCGTCTGCAGGCTGCAGTTCGGCATCGGGCAGCTGGGGCCCAGCGCGGTGCGAAGATGCCCCGCAAGTGAGCCGCCCTCGGCCTGAGGTAAGGTGTGAGCTCACATAAAGTGGTGGGTCAAGGGCCGGGGCAACCGCAAGGCCCGGACACGCGGGTGAGCAGACCCCGCACCCCCCACTCCCTCCCTCCCACATCCCGCCCTCGGCCTGCAGCAGCGCGCGTAGTGTCCCCCGCTATGTGTCGCCGTTCTCGGGGCACGCTATCCCAGCTCTCTCGGACGAGGCGCATTCCCATCTCTCTTTTCCGGGTGGTGACTGTCCCTGGTCTGGGAGGGGGGAAGACGGAAGAGTTGAATTATCGGCCTGCAGCAGCACCGAGCCGCAGACAAAGAAACTGCACTGGTGGTAGCCTGTCCGCCGGAGGTGCGGGCGTAAACTAAGCGCGCGGAGGGGAGAACAAGGCTCGACCGTCGTGTGGGGAGACCAGGGCGGGGGGTGGTGGTGGTGGGGGGCGGGGGTCCGGCTGTAGCCGTCCCTCGGGGAGATCTGGGAGATCTGGGGAGATCTGGGAGCCCATATGGGACGCACCCATCGGCTCGAGGAGGAGCTGCCCGCACGCGCACTCGCAAACCTCGCTCACGCGCGCTCGAAAGTGGCGCGTGACGGCGTCGACGAGGCCGGCGTCGCCAGACTCCGACAGGACCGAGAGGGCCGCTTCGAAGTACTCGCTTGGGTCGTCCACGACGTCGAGGAAGCCGCGCGCCTAGGTAGTAGCAGTAGGCAACCTTGATTCCAAGATCTGGCTCTACGCACGCCCAACGCAAGCGACTAGGGACAGGAGACGACGTGGCTTAAATCCACAGAGGGAAGTGTCCTGGGGAAGCGCCTTGTCGAGCAAGCTCGGTGGGAAGGCGGCGCGCAGCAGCGACTTGGGAGAGGCAGTGCGCTGCCCGAACAGAGAGGACATCAGCAGCTTGACGCTGCTTGCGATCTTCTCGTTGCTCGGCGGCAGGGCGAGCACGGCGCGGCGAAACGGGCGGACGCACCAGAGAGCCTGGAAGAAGACGGCGAGGAAGGAGGCCAGCAGCGGCGACTCCAGCCCCCAGTTCCCGCCGAGGCCGACGATGGGCGCGGCCATGGCCGTCGGAGAGGGGACGTTCCGGCTGGCGAGCACCCTCGACCTCCCCGTCGTGCTCGGCGGCTCCGGCGGCGGGGCCGGCGCAGGCACTAGCGGGGCCGAAGGCGCGAGCGGAGTCGGGGGCGCTAGCGGAGGCGGCGACGCTAGTGCGTGGCGGATCTTCGCCCGCACAGCGAGCGGGAGCGGCAGTGCTTCCCACTCCTTGTCGCCGAGAGCGGCAAGCTCGTCGAGGGTCTCGAACTCCTCCTCTCTCAGCACCTGCGCCAGAGGGCGGAGGGCAGGAGTAGGAGTGTGCAAGGGGGCAGTGTGCAACTTCCCAGATCGGACCCCAAAGTGTGCGACTGCGTGGCCAAGCGACTGGCGACGGGAGAAGTAGGGTGGCCTGCCGAGATCTGGGGAGATGTGGGGTGATAGCATATGGGGAGATTTGGGGAGGCGCTGACCTCGAGCCAACGCTCCAGCTTGCCCTGCTCCTTGGCCGGAAACAGCGCCTGGAGTGGGGGGCTGCGGTAGTTCGCACGACTGTGGGCGGTCTCCTGCCCCCACTCCACAGGACGGATCTTGGAGAGGGGGGGCTGATGGATCTTGGAATGTCTCTTCAGGTGCCCGATAGAGCTGTGCTACTGCTCCCACTACTCCTATACTACTCATACACTCCTCGAAGAAGCGCAGGTCCAGCTGCTGCTGCGCCAGCCGCGCGGAGGAGCGCGACGCCGAGTCGGGCCTGCGGAGGGGGCCACATACGCCCCCCGTCGCTAGTCGCTTGGGCGTGGAGAGGGGTGTCCGATCTTCCGATCTTGAATAAATGTGAGGGTGCCTACTCAGAGCCGCACCTCAGCGAGGGGTTGGAGCAAGTCGAGGGGGCGAGCGCACGCGGGGCGTCGCCACCGCACTCGGGCAGGCACTCGGGTGGCCGCGTCAGCGACTGTTCCGACCCTTCCGATTGCGGGTTGGAGAGGCGTCCAGACTCCGCGCTGGCCACGCCACCGCCGCCGTCGCCGCCGCCACCGCCGTCCACGCCTAGAGGAAGGGACATCTCTCGGGGTGAGAGAACGGGGCTCGTTGTGGCCCGCGGTCCTCCGTCGCCCGCGCCGTCGCCACCGATGCCGAGCATCCGAACCCTCTCCGTTGGGACAGCGTCTGGCGGTGCGAACACTGGGTCGACTCGGCCCCCGCCTTGTGTGCCGCCCGGCGCTGGAGGGCTGCCCCAGTCGCCGCCGCCCTGCCGCTGCTCGTGCGGGCGAGGCGACCTGGGCGGCATGCCCACGCCGCCGCTCATCTCCGCTGGAAGAGCGCCGCGCGTGAAGGCGGGGCTGATCTGGACGAACCGGCCCAAGCTGAAGATCTTACCTTGCTGGAGCGCCGCCGAGGCCGAGGCCGGCCGCACGAAGCGGCAGAAGGCGTGCAGAGGTGGGCTCTCGGGCGGGATGCGGCCGCGCCGCTGCTGCGTAACCCACGGCCGGAGAAACTTGATGCCGCCGGGGGCGACCTCGCCGAACACCAGGAGCGCCGCTGCAACCTGCTCGCGAAAGAGCGACAGGTGAGGCCGGCGGTGGGCGCACAGAGGCGGCGCGGGTAGGGCAGTTGCAGCTTACTAGGGCGCGAGGCCAGCGGGCAGAAGGGGACCTGCGGCTCGGAAACGTGCGACGGCACGCGCACGAGCATGACGGTGTAGGGGCAGATGCGGCGCTCCGCCGCCGCCATGGGACCGTAGAGCTTAGCGCCTGGCCGCGGCATGTTGCACCGGTTGCACTTCTCGCGAAAGGCAAAGTTGATGTTTCCGCAGTTGCGGCACGTCCAGTTACCCGGCGCGGAGCCCGGCGGCCCATTGCCGCCGGGCGGGAGCGGCAAGGTGAAGTTAGCATGCCTCGCAGCGAGGGCGCGTGCTCGGCCGCCGAGTGCGAGAGGAGGCGCAACACCCGGCGGGTGTGCGAGCGCCGTCCAGTACTGCATCACAGACGAGATCTCGGCTTGGCCGACGGGCGAGTCGCCCGGCTGGCCCGGCTCGACCTGAAGATGGAGGCACGCGTAGTCGGCAGAGTAGCCGAGGAGGAGGAGGCGCCGGCCGCTAGCTCCGAGGAACTGGAGCGCGATGGTCATGGCCTGGCGGTCGCCGACAAAGAGGAGGCCAGCGGAGGGCCCTCCGTGGAAGCTCGGGCAGGCGGCGGTGGTCGCAAAGCTCGCGGTTAAGACCGCGAGCTCCTCGCACTCATGCAGACCGGCGAGAAGGAGAGCGCACTCCTGCTGCTCACGGTCGATGGCCTGGAGCGCACAGTGAAATGCAGCGCAGCCGGAGAAGCCGTGCGCGCAGGACAGGTTGTAGCCGGTGTCGGGCGTGAGCTGAAGGCCGCAGAGGTAGCAGATCGTGGGGGTGGGCCGGTTCATTCGACAGGCACTCGAGGGGCGGGAACGGCGCCTGCAAAATGATGAAAATCATAAAAAAGAAAACCTTCAAGCTCGGTGTGGTGGCCCGTCCTCCCATCCCTCCCTGGAGGTCGTTTTTCTCCATCGTTTAGCTCGCAGCTGGCCGAAAACGTCTCTCATTTAATCCTGACAAGCGCTCCCCGCTGTGGGCCTGTGGCGGCCGCGCGCGGGGGACGTGCTGCGATGCGCCCTCACGTCCCCTCCTCCGCTGGCGAGGAGGAGCCGCTCCCGCTCGCGTACGCACCGAGCCCCAGCAGCGCGTTACCCGGCGGGCTGCTCGGCGCCGCACCCGCCGGCGCACTCGCCGCCGCTGCGCTGCTCGAGCCCGCGCCGCTCGTCCCCGCGGCAGCGCCACTGCTGCTGCTCGCGCCCCCGGCCGGTGCCGCGCCCCTCGGCTGCACCACCATGCCCGGCGGCAGCCGCGGCCGCTTGCCCGCGGCGCCTGCGGCGGGTGTGAGGGGTGCGCCAGTGTTGGGCCCTGGGCTTCACTGGCCCTGGGCTACTGTCCCACAGCCTCTCCTCCCAACTCGGACCTGAGCCGGGGCAGGGGTCCCCGGTCGCTCGCTCGCGCAGCAGCGTGCGTGCCGGGCCGGGTGTGGTGCCGAGGGGGGGAGGGGAGAGGGAGGGGAGGGGAGAGGGAGGGGAGGGGAGAGGGAGGGGAGGGGAGAGGGAGGGGAGAGGGAAGGGGGGGGGGGGGGGGGACTCCTGATCTTCCGCCGACGGCCGCCACACTCGAGCTCGCCGTCGCGGCGGCGGGCGGCCGTGGCTCCTCCTCCTTGAGCCTGTCCGCAGTGTGAGGCGTGAAGAGACGCCGTCCTCGGGTCCCCCCCCCCCCCCCCCCCTTCGCCCTCGAGGCTATTGAAGGGCTGCTCTGCAAAAACAGCCAGCTCCCCGGCTTCGGTTTCGGCGGCAGCGCGGGCCCCTTCCGCCTCGATCCCCTGCGTGAGTGGGGGGGGGGGGGGCCCGAAATTATGTATTTCCAAAATCCTGGTATTTCTTGCGGGCAGGT